TTTCCCCACAGCTCAGGGAAGGAGCACACTGGGTACAGTCCTTTGTGGCTGCAAATCAGCAAAAACTCTCTGTGCCCTCCAAATCCTGGGTGTCCCCACAGAGTTCCAGCCCAGTCTGCCTTCCCTCTGCCGTAGCCCCCAGGTGAGTGGCTGTGGCTATTTTAATGCTCTGTCATGGCTCTCTGTGCTGTGGAGGGGGCTTGTTCTTTATTCCCCAAGGGCACTACTGAAAGCTAAGACTGCTGCTCTCCATGGGCTCCCAGCCCTCCACCCTCTCGCACCTCCATAGATCCTACCAGTGTCCCTGGTTTATATGGTCTTGTCCTGATGCTTTTCTGTTGCTTTTTTCTGAGGATTTGTCTTCATTTTAGTTGTAATATCCATTTTGTCCTAGGAGATCGTCTGCTTATCTTCTATTCACTCTGCCTCCATTTTCACATCCTCTATGCCTATCTTGTGCACAGCTGGGTTGTGCAGGCCTTTCTGGTGCCCCCGCACCCTGAGAGTCCCATGGGTAAGTGGATAGCACAGTCCCTTTGGGCACCAGGCTCTATGCCTATGTTGTGGGCTGCTGGATAGCACAGGCCTCTCTGGTGCTTCAGCACCCCACAGGTCCAGTGGGTAAGTGGATGGCATAGTCCCTGCTGGGTCTGTGTAGCATAGTCCTCTCTAGTGCTTCAGCACCCCAGAGGCCCCGTGGGTAACTAGATTGCACAGTCCCTGCTGGGTCGCACAGTCCTCTCTGTTGCTTCAGCACCCCGCAGGTCCCTGGGGTAACTAGATCGCATAGTTTCTGCTGGTTTGCACATGTCTCTCTGGTGTTTCCGCACCCCACAGATTCATGGGTAACTGGATGGCACAGTCCCTGCTGGGTTGCACAGGACTCTCTGGTGCCCCCACACCCTGCAGGTCCTGTGGGGCAGGCAGCTGGGATACACCAGTCTCTCTTGGGCTCAGGCTTCCCACTGCACTTGTGAACCTCTGGACAGCACAGGCCTCTGTGGAGCCCCAGGTCCCACTGCTGGCGGCTGGGGAATGCTGCTGCCCAGTGGGGCTCAACTCTGCTCAGCTTTTGGTGTAGTTTTTGGGGATGGGTCTCAGCTGCTGGTCTGTGCTTCTGTTGCCTGGGGATGGATGTCTGCTCCCCAACCTCTATTGCTGGGGTTATATCTGGACTCTGATAGGGCTGTTACTATGGTCGATGGTGCTGGGCTCTGGGCTGTCTGCAGCTTCTGTGACCAGAACCTTGGGAGTTCCACTACTTGTGCACCGGTCTATGTTGACACAGCGTGTCCATTGGTTTAATGGTGCCAGGTGGCTGGGCCCCAGCTGCTCCCACTGCCTCCTCCCAGGGAAGACTCGGGATCTTCCAAAATTGTGGGTCCTCTCCACGGAGCAGGGAGAAGTGCCCCCAAAGGGCAGCTTACCGCGGTAGCTGGCTGCTTCTGTCTACAGCACAGGAACCTTCTGTTTAAAGGCTCTGAACTGCTCGTGTTTGGTCATCCACCTTCACATCCACCCACACTCTCTCACACACTTGCTCACTCTCTCAGACACTTACCCTCCCTCCGGTCCTGCCTGCTGCCATCTTCTCAAGCTAAAGCAAAATTTCTTTATTCAAGTGTGTGAACACTTTTAAAACTCTTGGCATTTAATTGACAAATTTTTCTCCTGAAGATTACAGCAATTTTTACTCCTACCAGTGAAAAACCTTTTAAAAACAGAAAAAAATCCACAAGATTTGCTAATTTTATAAATAAAATTGCATTTTATCTTCATGTAAATTTCTTTGATTATTACTGATATTGAATATTACCCATGTTATATTAATCAAATGCTCAAAATAATATTTAAAGGATATTTTTATCTTCACTTTAAAAATGTATAAACAAAGCCCTGAGACTTTAAAAATCTTCAATATCACACAACTTGCAAGTATTTAAAAACATACATGAATATTGATATTACTTTGTCAAAAATTAATTTAAAAATGTGACTGACATATTTGCTTATTTTTGTTTGATGAAAGATCAGATTATTTATTCTTTCTAGGCCTTAGATGTATATAATTTTATCAAATATTCTCTACTCTATAAAACACATATATTTTAGGTCTTTTATTACCTTTGTGCAGAGCTTAGACTAAGAGTGATATCCCTAATACACTGGGTTATTGTACAAATTAGCAAGAAGGAGAGCTTATGAGAGTTTGTCTTTCTATGGGATCTGGACATTACTTTATTTGCTTCATTGAATATATATGTGTCTTTATCTAAGTAAGTGTAAAAATTTACCAAATAATATCAACCTAACAACCTAAATTATTTAAGATATTTTTATGCATAGGGTTAAATACCTTTACTAGTAAACTGGTCACATAGTCTTCCGTGTAATCTGGAAGCTACCAGAAAATAATGGGGTATAGTAGGAATGACAGAAGTTGAACTTCCCTTTAGTAGGCTGGATCTAAAGAGTTTCCTCAATACCATTATTGCATGGAGGTTAAAAGTCCAGGTTCTCAGTACTGATATGCTCTAGTGTGGATAAATATCTAAAATATTATACTGAGTGAAAGAAGGCAGATATAAAAGGTCACCTACTATATAATTACATTTATATGAAATATCCATAATAGATAAATCCATAGAGACAAAAAGTAGGTTAGTAGTTGCAAGGGGTTGTAGGGAGTGGGAATTGAGAGAAACTGTCTAGTGGGTAGAGGGTTTTACTTTGGAGTGATGGAAATATTTTGAAACTAGATAGAAGTGGTTGTTGCACAGCATTGTGAATGTACTAAATGCCACTAAATTGTTCACTTTAAAATGGTTAATTTCATGTTTTGTGAATTTCACCTCATGAAATTATATTTTTAAAGTCCAATTTCATGTACCCAATAGCCCTCAACTTGAAAATGGACTCTGCCCCTTCCTAGCTGTGTGACATTGGGCAAGTTACTTTAATTTCTCAACTTAATCCTAACTCTCTTTTACCTAAAATCCCCATCAATGCTCATAAAACATTGTTGTAAAGATTATATGAGATAATGTACATACTGCCACTGGCACAGTGGCTGACACATCATAGGTTCTTAGGAAATGGTAGCTATTGCTGCTTACCTCTATTGTCAGCAGCAACAGTAACAATAGTAGTTGTGTTTCAACCCAGATTCTTGATATAACCAAGTGATTTTACAGTTAGAAATCTCACTTCAGGTAATTCATTTAAGTAAAAGTCACATCACATTGACTTCAGACATGTATTACCTCAATGGAGTTCTTCTTTTGAGAAGCAAGTTTAAGATTAAAACTGTTGTACATTAATGTCAAAATAGAACCAAGTCTTAGAGAGCAATGAATAAGTATTGTATCCCTAAAATATCAGATTATCAGCTTTCTCAGGAGAGAAGCACACTGTGCCTTCCAATGTATGCTCCTTTACTGAAAAGGGACCAGCCCATGAAAAACAGTCATGCCCTGGGGCATTTAACAGAAAATGTGAGAAGGAAAAATGTATTTCATTGAGCTTCAGAGAAGGAAAACCTTAAATATAAGTTAAAAATTTCCATTTATCTGTAGTGGATGTTATGTGTTACAAAGAGGTGTGGCTTAATGGAGGTCTTTTTTATTAATGGAATTCTCCAAAGAGCTCCAAGCACATTTGCTGCTTTCCTGACTGACATTCTTTTATGCACACATGCTTTAGTTTAACTTTATTTTTTATTTTTTTATTTTGTTATGGGCTTCCCAAATCAAGAACAGGCTGGAAAAAATGTTTATTAGATAAAAATGTACTGTTTTGTAGTGTTCTTTGAGTATCTAATTTGTTTCCCTGAAGGCTATTCAAATGAGATATAAAGGACAGCCAAAATCAATACCACTTCGCTTATTGAATGAGGCAGCAAAGGGAAAGTCTGTTCCTCCATGTCAGTCATCTTTCCCGTGGAAGGGTAGGGAGTAAAAAAAGACTGCAAAGGCTATGTAAAATGCATAATCTTTAATGGGAGACAATTCAAATGCACATTGATTTGTGTACTGGAGCTATTAATAATTATTAGCCACGTGACCTTAAGTAAAATCTTAACTTTGGGGGCTTTAGTAGTCTTATGTGAAGAATGGAATAATCTATTTCCAACAATTATTGAAAGTATTGCTTGAGTTACTCGGCTTAGTTTTCAACATACTGGCAATATGTAGTTTCCTCTTGTTCTGCAAGCTTCAAGATTGATGCTGTGGCAGCTTTTGCCATCAGAGTAGCCAGTGGGTTTTGTGAATTATTGTGGGCTAGGAAATGTTTGCTTAGTGCTTTCTGTCCATTATCTCATTTAAATTATTACATCAAGTTTATGTGGTAAACATCATACCCATTTTACAGCTGTGGAACATTAAGCTCAGAGAAGTTAAGTAATCTATTCAAGATGGCTCTGCTAGAAATTATAAGAGATAACATTCAAACTCAAGCCTCCCTGTCAATGGAGCTTGCATATATAACTTATACAATTAAAAATCTTCAACCAGGATCCAGTGGCTGTTTAGTTGATCTGCTGTTTGTTGCTCTGTCTTAGAATTATACAGTAGACTGTGAATCATAAAATATTCAGTTATCTTCACCTAGAATCAGATTTTCAGCTTCAGAAAGACATTATGTGTCTTTGTCATTGTTCTCTTGGACCCAGAGAGTCCACAGAGTTGAGTGCCCTACCCCTGAGACTTCCTGTGACAGCACGGACACCTTCTGAACAAGCTTAGCACATACCAGGCATGTATATGCAGCACCCTACATAGTGGTAGGCATGTTAGATGACCACTGTGCAGTTGGATGAAATGGAGTCAAGAAAAGCCACATGTGAAAATACATTTCTTTCCAAAATGATGGTGCATCTGCAAGGGTATGACTAGCAGTGATATTCTTGACATTCACTGGAAACACCCCAGGTTTCTTGGGTAATTCATTTTCTAGGGTTAGTCATTAACATGCTTCCTGCTTTCCACCTCTTTTGACAGGCCCAGCTGTGAGATACAGTAAGTTCAAGATGTCAGAGGCAAGGCCACCCCCCTTGCTTGGGCAGCACACAACGCACATCCTGAAGGAGGCCCTCAGATATGATGACAGGACCATTGATGAGCTGCTCAGGACTGGAGTAGTGCACCAACATGAAGCCAAGTGACAAAGGAAAAATGCTCTTTCTTAAAACCACAATTGGAATACACTTTTCCAGCAAAGACACTGTTCTTTCTGAACCCTTGTTCCCAATTCTGGTGCTTGGTACTAAAAAGAGGAATAAATTCCAGATTTCCTGCCTAGCATTTTGTTCCTGTATTAATGAATCTAGTGCTTTCTATATGTACCTTACCTTTCATTCCTTACCATTTTTCTCTCCAGATAACAGAGTCACTGTGGATTTGTAAGATTTTTTGGTAAAGATTTTTTTTTCTGGAAAAATACATTACTCAGTCTAATTAGATTAATAACCTAAACATTTTGACTCTGCAGCCCATGTAGGTATGAAAAAGAGCAGATCTCTTAACATTCTCTACTTGTACATAAAGTTTTCATTTAAACATTTGTTAGGAAGTCAAAGCAACAAGTGGAATGACAGTCTCAGTGATTGATTTTAAACAGAATAATTTAATTTTGAGCTCATGAGCCCTTTGTTAATCTATAATTTAAACCATGGACTTTGCTGGTGGCCATTATAAAATTAAACTCCATTCTTCATCATGGGAATAATTATTTGCTTTGTGCTATATTTTTTGGATTATTTAATGATACTAGCAAAAAATCTATTTCCATCAATGCATTTTGTGGTGTAGGTATCTACCTGTATTAGGGACTGGAGAGTGGTTCTTTAACTGATACTGTACTTTGAGACAAATGTAAATGTAACATGTTTTTAAATGAATATCAGATGACTAGGTATGAAATAATGTATAAATAATGACAAATAGGAAAATAAAATGAAACCATTTCATGGTAATCTGAGTATCCACTGTAGAAGAGTATATCCTGCCTTGATATTAAATATTTGTATTTAAGTATTTGTCAATGAATTCAAAGTAGAGAAAATCTCTTCTGTCTAGAAGGTAGTAACTGAACTATATACATGTTCCAGATTAAACTATCATTCAGACTACCAGTCACCCACACCCTGGTATAGACCAAGAATCAGATGAGTCCCATGATCAGTATAGTGGAATAATCTCAATTCCTGGTTGTTAGGCACACATATTTGAAAGTCATGTCATTACATACCAAGTGGCAATGGAAAGTTAAATTACAGATGTTCATCCTTCAAACTGTGATTTAGAGCTAGTTCTCTTTTTACGTTTTTTTAATTTTTTTTATTGGAATCATTTGAGCCATTTACCCATGCTGTAAACCTAATATGTGTCTGGAATTAAGGTTCTGAATAAAAAAAGAAATGTCTCCTCACAAGTCCTTATGTGACTTTTTTGAAGAATGCCTACTAATTCTTGAAACAGTTATTGTCCTCCTTGATTTTGTTCTCTGTGCACATCTTATTCTGAAGAACTCCTGCTCTTATCCTCTAGTTAGAATTTCATTATACATGGGTAATTAATGCCTTCTGTAGTACTTTTTCTCCAATGCCTAATTTATAGATATATATCTGAAGACTTTCACTTAAGGCCAGATGTCTAAATGAAATTCCCCCCATGAATACACAATTAGCAATGAAAATGGTAAAAAGCTGGTGAGATACAGTAAGTTCAAGATGTTCAAGATACAGTAAGTTCAAGAAAATTGGCAAAACCACATATCTTAAAAGACAAATCCACCATTTCTTCTGATTCAAGTAGATATTTTGAGATGCAAATTATTTGGTTACTGAGCAATGACCCTATACATCTGGGTAGCCATATGTAGGAGGATATTGATCATTCAGAAAGGGTTACAAAATGCCTCTAAAACCTTGAAATCAGTCAAAACTGCAATGTTTATGCACAACAGAGTCACCATTGGAGTTTGTCTTCAGTGTAATTATGTATGTAGTAGCTAACCAGATTTCCATCTTCACAACTCAAAATGATCAAGGAGAACTTTGACATATTCATCATCCAAGAGAAAACATTTACTTTACCTATTTAGTGAGATAAATAATTTAGAATATGTTTTGAATTTAGATAGATAATTTTCCCTGAAAGAAACGTGGTTGCTAAAATTTTTAGCAATATGCCCCAGATCATGTCATGTGTATAGACAAATGTCATGTTTTAATTATCAGAGCCTATTATCTTACACATTCCCTAAGCTGAACACACTACTAGCATATGCTGAAGTTCAATTTGTGTCAAGGCCTGCCTTCTGGTAGGTTTGTGTCTGAGACTTGCCTAGAAAATTCTTTGAAACTTAGTGAGTTAATCAACATGGTAGTGAGGGTGTGTCCACAAGCAACTAGGCTTCCTTTACTTGATTAATTTCTGAAACATTTTGCTGCTATAATTTTCTGGTTAATTAAGCATGATATTTTCCAACATGCAGTCTGACATGCTGAATGTTTTCTTAGAAGGAGAGAAATAAATAACCAACTTTGTGTGATTACCCCAGTTAGCTGGTGTCCTTTGTCTTTGATTTAATTACCAAGACTTAAAAGCAAAATCATGATTTTAAGAAACAAAGGAGATCTCATATAGGCTGTTTCATATGAGGCCATTTAACTACTGAACTTAGATAACCCCACAATAGGGACTTTTACATGAAGATGTTATGAGCCCTGCTTTCATCCTTCAGGAATATTCATTCACACTCACTTCTATCTCACCTGAATTTGAAATTTCACCACTGACTATTTTGTCCCATGACATGGGCATGTTGTCCACTTTAAAAGCTTTATAAATGTGAGTCTTGTCACTTTCGCACATGGCTCAACGCTGCCTTCATGCATAGGACTCATTCTCCAGACAATGGACCTACAGCTACTGAGAAAGAATGCCAGCTCAGGGCTGAACAGACTATCCAGATCGTCTGCCTCTCCTCTGGCTACTCATCATTGACTCTCAATTTGCAAAGGAGACAAGTGGAAAAAGGTACATTCCTCACTTTTCAAACCCTGAACGTGGTTTATTTGTTTTCAAACTCATTTTCCAAAATGATGTTCTTTTTGCATTTGCTACTATTCATAGGAAACGATCTGCTATAGTGAACCTTTATAATTGATGAGATTCCTGAGACACAATGGGCCTGAAAAAATAGTTGTTAACCTTGATTATATTATCAATGATTCTTAGGAAGCCAGAATATCAAGCCCTCTAGATTTGGGGGTACTAGTAATGGTACAGTAGTTTGAAAAAGAGGTTAAAAAGATACAGATAGAAGTTTGTATTCCCATCCCAAACAGCAATTGGGAAAATAAAAACCACATCACAGTCTCTTATCATCATCCATTTTCAGGTGTAGAAAGACATCAGGATAACGTACCTTTTATAGCAATACCAGGGTTAAATGTTTTATAAATTACTACTCTCATAAAATGTTCAAATAGTTTCTTAATGTAGATATATCAAGCTATCTTCTGAATCCAAATGGTCCTGAACTTTTAAACCAGCCTGGCTGTATGCAGGATAGGTTTATGTGGTATGATTAGTAGGTATAAGCAACTCCAATAGATATCTTTTCTCACCACCATTCAAAAACATGTCTTCTGTCACTCCATGAGAGTGACAAATGAGCGCAAATTCTTTGCATTCATACATTTAATTCCATACAAAATATAAGAGTTAAAGTAGGTAAATTTGATTATCAGGAAAGGAAAAGAGATAGTATGCCAAGATCAGGCAGACACACTCAGGAGCCTCTGGTGAGCCCATAGCTGTATGAGCCCAGCCTGATGTGTAGATGCTAAAAAAGGAAGGCAGACACTGGAAGCAGCTCTAACATTATCTAGGGAACAGATTTAATCCACCTCAAATTTTTTCCTGAGAAATAGCCCTTTTTTTCATTTCTTAAGACTTTAGAATGAAAAGCGCTGCCCCAAATCCTGCCCTTTTGTAACACTGTTAATAACAGGCTGTGGTTGACAGAGTCATGGCCCACCAAAGATGCCTACACCTTAATTTCCAGAACCTGTGAATATGTTGCCTTGCATGGCAAGAGGGAATTAAGGTTGCTAATTAGGTGACCTTAAAATAGGTTTTTCTGGATTATGCGGGTGGGCCCAATATAAACTCGGGGTATTTATATTAAACGCAGGGCCCAATATAAACTTAGATATAGAAGAGTAAATGTCAGTTATGTGGTATGAGAAAGATTTTACTAACCAGAGATAGATTACTGGCTTTGAAAATGAAAGTGATCCAAGAAATATAGGCATCTAGATGATGGAAGACAAGAAAAATGAACTCTCTCACAGAGCCTCCAGAAGGAAAACAGCCCTTCTTGATTTTAGGCTGGTAAAACTTATTTTGGACTCATTTTTATCCTCTGATCTCCAGAAGTTTAAGATACTAAGCTACCATTCTTTGAAGTTATTAAATTTGTAATAATTTGTTACAACACTAATAGGAAACTAATATAGAGTCTGCTCTGCCTTTGCAAGTCTAAAGTGACAGGAAAATCACTACTTTGCAAAGTGACCAGATGAGGCTTTGTTTCTTTTTGTTCTTTCTCTGTTTTTTTTTTTCTACCTACTTATTTCCCTAACTTTCATTTTGCCCATTTTTGTAACTCCTTCAATAATCTTTTTTCTCCTATTTTGTTTATTTACTTCCCCCTCTTTTTCCTTTTATACCTACCTCATCTTTCTCTCCCTTTCTCTACATAGATGCACACAAAGTTGTATGTGGTTACACAAGCATGGATTCCCAAACCTATGACTGACTTTCAGAAAAATAGGGTTTGCTCAGTAATTTGAAAGATAACTAATGGTCGCTCTGGCCATGACTTCACCTCCACAAGCAATCTTGAATTAATCTCTGGGGTGATTTTCAAATAACTGGCTGTCTCTTCTTCTCCCATGAAACTCAGGGGGAAGCATGGAGTGCTCCAAATGCCAATGTGGGCTGAGGCAGAACCCTCAGGCTCTCTACCTCTCTGTCAGATGCCTTGATCCTAAGAAAAAAATTAAAATAAATAACATATAATACAGAAAAGAATCTAGACTCTGTGACATCCAAGGCCTCGCTGCTGTGGTATTGGGCTTTCACCTGAGAAAGGGGTTGGGGGTAGAAGTGGTGAAGAGGCATGATGGTTGATGGTTCTGCTCCAGCACTAGGCCTTGGTCTCTATTTCTGATTCTTTTTTAGAGAAGACAGGCTTACTTGGCCTCCTGATGGTGATAACTAGTTTGTCCCTAGCCATTTTACCCAAATGGCCTCCAGAAGAAAAGTGATTTCTCTCCATTGGTTTTGTCATCTGTTAAAACAGTAACTAGATCCTCATAGCTGTCTGTGATTTCTTCTTTCAATAGAATAAACCACACTTTATCT